ATCTATCTCCGTTACTTTCATCTATCTCCGTCCTACATCTAGCTATCTCCGTCCTACATCTATCAATCTCCGTTATTCCCATCTATCTCCAGTCTACTTTCATCGATCTCCGCCCAACGTTAATCTATCTCCGTTCAACATCTATCAATCTCCAACCCTTCCATCTATCCCGATCCATCTATCTATCCTCGGTCCTCTTATCATCTATCCGTTACATCGACGATCTCCAGTCCTACATCTATCTGGCGATCCATCGATCCGCCTTAACGTGAATCCATCTATTATCGCAGTATCTTACTTCCGTTATCGACGATCTCCGACCTTACATCCATCGATCTCCTCGCCCAACGTCAATCTATCTCCGTCCTTATATCCATCCTATCTCCGTTCGATCTATCTCCGACATTTCTTATCTATCTCCAGTCATACATCGATCTCCGCCCATCGTCATTCGATCTATTCCGTCCTATCATCGATCTATCTCCGTTACTTCCATCGATCTCCGTCCTATCGATCGAGCTCCGTCCTACATCTATCTATCTCCGTTCTTTCATCTATCTATATCCACATCTACCATCGTCTAGTCTACTTCTATCGTCCCCACCATCTATCTATCTCCGTTCCATCCATCGATCTCCGCCCAATCGCCACTTCATCTATCTCCGTCCTACATCTTATCTATCTCCCAACCATCCATCGATCCCCAATCTCCGTCCTACATCTATCTATCTCCGTTACTTCCATCTATTCCAGTTCCATCCATCTATTCTCCAGTCTACATCCATCGATCTCCAGTTCCATATCCATCGATCTCCGCCCAACGTCAATCTTATCTCCTTCCTACATCTATCAATTCCTCCGTTCCATCGACGGTATCACCACATCCATCAATCTCCGCCCAACGTCAATCTATCTCCGCCCTACATCTATCTATCTCTTAACCCTTCCACCTATCCCCCAGTCCTACATCTATCCATTCCGTCCTGTATTCCGCCATTTCCATCTATCTCCAGTCTACATCCATCTGTTCCGTCCTACGTCTATCTCCGTCCTATATTCCATCTCTGACCTATCTCCGACGACGATCTCCGTCTGTTCCTTCCATCTTTATCTCCGTCCTATCGACGACGTTTACTTCCAATTTATTCCGTCCGGCAACGACGACCTGTCCTATATCGACTTCATTTATCTATCTCTGTCCTGGCTATCTTTGTCCTATATCTATCAATCTCCAACCTTATCTATTCCAGTTCCATTTTATCGACTTCCGCCTTAATCAGCATCTATTCTGTTCAACGACACCTTAACCACGACGACTTCCGTCCTTATCTTACTTCCACTTCGTCCTATCTATCAATATCCGTTATTTTATCTATCTCCAGTTCATTTCCACCGATCTCCAGTTCATCCATCGATCTCCGCCTTAACGTCAATTTATCGACCCGCATTTTAGTTCCGACGACCTGTTATCGACGCATTCCAGTTCCATCCATCAATCTTGCCCAACGTCAACGATCTCCGTCCTTCCGACGACGATTCTTTCATTTATCTCCAGTTCCATCCATCCATCTCCGCCCAGCATTCCCGCCTTATACCCGGTCCTGTTCACCCATTCCGTCACTTAATTTCCGACCTACATCTCCGTCCTTAATCTATCTTTATCTCCGTCCTACATCTATGTATTCCGTGCCATTGTATCAATCTCCAGTTCCATATCCATCGATTCCCCGTCCTGTTCCATCGTCTCCGTCCTGCTATCTATCTATCTCCGTCCTGGTTATCTTATCTATCTTTCGTTATTTTATCTATCTCCGTTACTTCCATCTATCGATCCCCGTCCTACTATCTATCTGTTCCGTACTACATCTATTTATTCTCCACATCCATCTACTTCAATTGCACGATTATCTCAGTCCTACCATTCCATCTATCTCCGTCCTACATCTATCAATCTCCGTTATTTTATCTATTTCCAGCGTCTGGCATCCATCGATCTCTACCTACTACTGCCTTATTTCTGTCCTACATCTTTATCTCCCCTGTGGAATTTTATTTATTCTCCTGACCTACATCTATCGATCTCTAACCTATTGCCGTCTACTTCTGTCCAACATCTATTTATTCCAGTTCATATCTTATCTATTCTTAGTACATCCATCGATCTCTGCCTTATCGTCAATCGACTCGTCCATAATCTTATCTATTCCCCAGCATTTTATCTATTCCCCAGTTTGCGCATCCATCCTATTCTAGCCTTTACATCCATCCATTATCTTTCGCTTCATCAGCACGACATTCTGTCTCACATCTATTCTTATTCTGTCTCTACATTTTATTTTATTCTTGCTATTTACCTATTCCAACTCTATATCTATCTGTTCTGTCTCGGCATCTTATCTTATTCTCTGACTAGACGGCTTAATATTCCAGCATTCGACGCATTCTAGTTTCCATTTACTGATTCCATAGCGTTGCATCTCACGGATTTCGCCTAATCGTCATTATATTCAGTGCTATTTTATATTTTACCTCTAAAGTACGACGGTTTCTAGTTTCCATCTATTGATTCGTTTAACAAGTTAATTTATTCTGTTCCGGAGATTTATTTATTCTGATTTTAAGCATTTGCGATTAATTTTACTATTTCCGTTTATTTCTTTAGTTTTATTTATCGATTTATCTATTGATTTCTGCTCTAATGTTAATATTTCTGTTAGCATTTATGTATTTATTTCTGTGCTATTTATTTTATTTAGTTTATCTATTGGATTTTGCTTCATCAAGTTAATTTATTCTCTTGTTCGAGACATTTTATTTATTCTCTGATATTTAATTTATTCTAGTTTATCTCTATTTATTCTATTTTACATCTATTGATTCTCTGCTTTATTGTTGTACTATTTCTGTCTTGTATATTATTTATTCTTATTTATTGATTTCTGACTTTATTTATTTGCGAAATCTGTCTCTACATTTATTTATTCTTCTTTGCATTTATTTATTCTGTCTTGGCGACGAGCATTATCTGTTATTTATTTTATTCTAGTTTATTTACTGATTCTAGTTTATATCCATTGATTCTGTTTTATCTTCATTGATTTTCGCTTGTAATGCCAATTTTATTTCTGTTCTAAGACAATTTATTCTCAGCATTTATTTCATCTTTCTGTTATTTTATTTATTTCTAGTTTTATTTATTGATCTCTAGTTTATATCTTATCTGATTTCTAGTTTACATCTATTGATTACTGCTTAATGTAATTTATTGCTGTCTCGATTAATTTTATTCTGTTATTTATTTATTATTTCATCTATCTCCGTTACTTCCATCTATCTCCGTCCTACATCTATCTATCTCCGTCCTACATCCATCTATCTCCAGTCCTACGTCTAACTATCTCCGTTACTTCCATCTATCTCCAGTCTACTTCCATCTATGTCCAGTCTACATCCATCGATCTCCGTCCTACATCTATCTATTTCCGTTACTTCCATCTATCTCCGTCCTACATCTATCTATCTCCGTTACTTCCATCTATCTCCGTCCTACATCTATCTATCTCCGTCCTACATCCATCTATCTCCGTCCTACTTCCATCTATCTTCGTCCTACATCTATCTATCTCCGTTACTTCCATCTATCTCCGTCCTACATCTATCTATCTCCGTCCTACATCTATCTACCTCCGTCCTACCTCTATTTATCTTCGTTTCTTCCATCTATTATCCAGTTTACATCTATCAATCTCCGTTACTTCCATCTTTCTCCAGTCTACATCCATCGATCTCCCTCCTACATCTATCTATCTCCGTTACTCCCATCTATCTCCAGTCTACATCCATCGATCTCCGCCCAACGTTAATCTATCTCCGTACAACATCTATCATTCTCTAACCTTTCCATCTATCTCCGTCCTACATCCATCTATCTCCGCCATACGTTAAACTATCTCGTTAAACCCATCGATCTCTGCCCAACGTCTAATCTATCTCCGTCCTACATCTATCTATCTCCGTTACTTCCATCTATCTCCAGTCTACATCCATCTATCTCCATTCTACATCCATCGATCTCAGCCCATCGTCAGTCTATCTCCGTCCTACATGTATCTATCTCCGCCCTACATCTATCTATCTCCGTTACTTCCACCTATCTCCGACCTACATCTATCTGTCTCCGTCCCACATCTATCTATCTATCTCCGTCCTACATCTATCTATCTCCGTTACTTCCATCTATCTCCAGTCTACATCCATCGATCTCCGACCTACATCTATCTGTCTCCGTCCTACATCTATCTATCTCCCTCCTACATCTATCTATCTCCGTCCTACATCTATCTATCTCCGTCCTACATCTATCTATCTCCGTCCTACATCTATTTATCTCCCTTACTTCCATCTATCTCCAGTCTACATCCATCGATCTCCACCCATCATCAGTGTATCTCCGTCCTACATCTCTTTATCTCCGTAACTTCCATTTATCTCCGACCTACATCCATCGATCTCAACCCATCGTCAGTCTATCTCCGTCCAACATCTATTTATCTCCGTTACATCCATCTATCTCCAGTCTACATCCATCGATCTCCGCCCAACGTCAATCTATCTCCGTCCTACATCTATCGATCTCCGTTACTTCCATCTATCTCCGACCTACATCCATCTATGTCCTTTACTTTCATCAATTTCCCTCCTTCATCCATCTATCTATGTCCTACATCTATCTCCGCTCAACTTCCATCTACTTCCGTCCTACATCAATCTCCGTCACACAAGAAAACAACACTGATTTTTACCACAACCCAGGCACGCACTCACGCAATGCTGTTTCGTTGAGCTGGTTTCGTATAAACGGCATTGATCCTGACGAGTACAAGCAACTGCAACAGCGTTGCTTACACCCAAACTTGACCTTACCTCCTTCCCCATGATCAGCTGGATCTCGACCGACCCATATATACTTGATATAGGCAGGTGTAACTACATATCTGTATCTTCAGCGCTATTCTGAAGTGAAACACAGCCTCAGTGCGGCTAAGCGTAAATACAGCCCCCGTACCTCACCCTTCCCCCACTCCTCCTTCACCTTCGGTGTAGCTCTCAGTCCTGTGCGTGAGAACTGTGTGCCGAGGTGCTGAGTAATCCTTCTCCCTGCTACGTTGATACCAAACCATCTCACGCGAAGAAGGGACTCTGGCTGACCGGGGACACCTGTTCGTATTACTGCCGGACACACAGAGTTGACAGCAACACCCGGATAATACACGTGTGTGCATGCAGCTTTAGAGTTTACCTGTGTGTGCTGATCAGGTAAGTACAAACAGCTATTTGCAAAGGGGCGTTGCTGCAACCGATAGAACTGATGTAGCTTATAAATAGCAACAGGTTTTTCTACACGGGAATGTTTCGTCGCGCGTTGCTTTGCAGCTCGTCGTGAAGATTTTCGAAACGTATTTGCGAACAAGAAAGACAACTTTATGTCTCTCAAATATGGCTATCCGACAGGAGTGGAGCTGTGAGACAGGTGTACGGATTTTGAGGGGTGGTGAATATGTACATGAAAACGACTCTCAGTGAATCGGGGAGGTCGGTTGGCTGAGTTAGGTACGCTAAATGTGTTACCTTCTAAACACAAACCTTAACACTTGACCCCTTGACCCGTACATTGGACATGTTGTGTTGTGTTGTCAAAGTAAATGTGTTTAAGGTGTAAAAAATAAATATGGCGCTCTTAAAATTCACTATATGTAATCTTTAAAAGTGTTGTTATTATGATTTTAGGGTTTAATGTTGACACACGCAAACTTCAAAACTTTAACGTGATACATATCGTCACACATGTACACCCACAACGCATTTGAACACATCATCATTACCAACTCGGCGATATACCACATGCCACGTCTTCATTTGTAGTCATAAACTGAACCACCTGTGCTACGGACGCCGTGGTGGGGCAATTCACTTAAACCGGTTTATTTGTACAGTTCTATGTGAATATTGTAGCGACGCCGTGTATACCTTAACTATGTTTAAACATGTTTACATTCAAAACAAATTACATTATTAGTTTATATCCGGTGGTAAGCAATTGGTCGTAAACGTTTTCGAATTCTGACCACGTTTAAACATTTTTAATCGTGTAAAGAATTTAAACATGTTTAAACATATAACATGTTTAATTTCTGAAGATGAAGTGCTCGGCCGGGGTAAAAACATGTCCAGTAGAGCCACCAGTCTATCTTGATCGACAGTCTCATTCTTGTGAATGTGTTAACTTGTCAAAGGCTGTGTAATATACTCAGAGTTTTGTTTGCATGCGTTATTCTTGTATATATTTGACACCGCCCTCTCTCCCTCGAACGTACTCTCGCTCAACTGGCACTCCATCCTTTCTCGGTACACGTAACCTTTCTCTCGCTATCGCAATCCCGAAGTCTTTTGAGCACGTCAATGTGTAATATTCATTGACGTATTGTCTATGTGAGTGTATCTTTTAGTGTGTGTTGTGTTCAGGTGTAAGGGGCTGGTTTGTAGCGTTCGAGCAATCTGTACTGTATTCGGGGATACGTCAGTGTTTCAGAAGTGTGTGTTGTGTTCAGGTGAAGTGGGTGTGTGTAGTGTTCCAGCTAGTGTGTGCAGTGTCCAGGTAGAGTGTCGGTGTCTGTGTGTAGTGTCCCAGCTAGTGTGTACTGTGTTCAGGTGTAGTGTGGATGTCTGTGTGTAGTGTTCGTACTAGTGTGTACTGTGTTCAGGTGTAGTGTCGATGTCAGTGTGTAGTGTTCCAGCTAGTGTGTGCAGTGTTCAGATGTAGTGTCGATGTCAGTGTGTAGTGTTCCAGCTAGTGTGTACTGTGTTCAGATGTAGTGTGGATGTCAGTGTGTAGTGTTCCAGCTAGTGTGTGCAGTCCAGGTGGAGCGTGGGTGTCAGTGTGTAGTGTTCCAGCTAGTGTGTGCAGTGTTGAGATGTAGTGTGGATGTCAGCGTGTAGTGTTCCAGCTAGTGCGCCTGTGTTCAGGTGGAGTGTGGGTGTCAGTGTGTAGTGTTCCAGCTAGTGTGTACTGTGTTCAGATGAAGTGTGGATGTCTGTGTGTAGTGTTCCAGCTAGTGTGTACTGTGTTCAGGTGTAGTGTCGATGTCTGTGTGTAGTGTTCCAGCTAGTGTGTACTGTGTTCAGATGTAGTGTCGATGTCAGTGTGTAGTGTTCCAGCTAGTGTGTTCTGTGTCCAGGTGGAGCGTGGATGTCAGTGTGTAGTGTTCCAGCTAGTGTGTGCAGTGTTGAGATGTAGTGTGGATGTCAGCGTGTAGTGTTCCAGCTAGTGCGCCTGTGTTCAGGTGGAGTGTGGGTGTCAGTGTGTAGTGTTCCAGCTAGTGTGTACTGTGTTCAGATGAAGTGTGGATGTCTGTGTGTAGTGTTCCAGCTAGTGTGTACTGTGTTCAGTGTCAGGGTGTAGTGTCGATGTCTGTGTGTAGTGTTCCAGCTAGTGTGTTCTGTGTCCAGGTGTAGTGTTCGATGGAGTGTGGATGTGTGTGTGTTCCAGCTAGTGTGTGTTCAGGTGTGTGTCGATGTTCAGGTGTTCCAGTGTGGATGTGTTCAGTGTGTCGTGTTCCAGCTAGTGTGTGCAGTGTTCAGATGCAGTGTGGATGTCAGTGTGTAGTGTTCCAGCTAGTGTGTGCTGTGTTCTTGGATGTGTGTGGATGTTCTGTGTGTAGTGTTCCAGCTAGTGTGGATGCAGTGTGTAGTGTTCCAGCTAGTGTGTATGTCTGGTGCAGTGGAGTGTTCCAGTTCCAGCTAGTGTGTTCTGTGTTGAGGTGCAGTGTGGATGTCAGTGTGTAGTGTTCCAGCTAGTGCGCCTGTGTTCAGGTGCAGTGTGGATGTCAGTATGTAGTGTTCCAGCTAGTGTGTACTGTGTTCAGGTGCAGTGTGGATGTATGTGTGTAGCGTTCCAGCTAGTGTGTAATGTGTTTAGCTGCAGGTTGTAAGGAGGGATAACGGAAGCCTGTGTTGATCCTCACCACGCAGCAAGCCGCTGTGTGTGTACCTGTCCCCGGTGCTGTGTCAACAGCGGTGTCGCTACAGACTCTATAAACTGTGTCAGGTCAATCGAAGGTCACCGCCCCCTCCCGTTCCCGGCGTTACATCTGCATGCATATCCACAGTTTTCCCCCTTACTCTCCCAATCCACGACGCGCATCGTGTACTGATCTAATGCATCAACCATGCGGCCATCTTACAACACCCTCCATTCAGGCATGCTGTGTGTATCTGCAGAATATGTGTTTAAATCCTGCGTCCGTCTTACAGCTCTCACCTTCCCTTTGATTCCCTCCTCCCCTTCAAGTCAATAGCTTCTACTACTTCATACATGTCATACCTGTTTGCATCAACCATGGGTCCCTACAGCCTATCCCCTTTCCCTTCATCACTCAAGTAATCCCCTCCACCGTCTTCATCAACCCTGTGTACATCTAACGCCACCTTCTCTTTCCCTCTGCAATACACCTGAACGGTAAACAACCGAGGATACCATGAATCCAATGGTATAAGTTCTGTGTTAGACTGCTCTCCACTCCATCACAATCATATGAAAATTATTGATTCAGGAGGTGTTTGTGACATACACCTGTACAATGTGAAGATATCAATCTCACACGCTGCAACAAATGACTGACTCATACACACGTGACCTATCAACATCGTGAGCGCCTTTAGTTTTACCCCCTTTGTAACAATATTCCAACAATCAAACCGAAACATGAGTCTCATTAACCTATTCAGACAATGACCTACTTTTCAGCCGATCCGAAATTGCTCGTGTGAAAGCGAAAAGAGACACCACAAACAACTATGGTTACACTGAGTTCCAATTGCTTGTTTCCTGAGAAAATGGTATCGCCCCCACATATCAATATCGATATCAAGCTGTTACTTTTTTTAAAGTTTAGTCTGGGAAGCTAGTGTGTAATACCCGAGGACGGGGTAGCGTAGCAGGTATTGCATTCGATAAGCCATTCTGATACCAGGGTCGATTCTTGTGTCCGTCGCCATGACATCGCTGGACAAAACGGAATGAAATCATATTCACTCACACGGTAAATGTCGCATATATTTCCCATATTTTCATTCGCTATATGACTACGAATATGATTTCAATGAGAGCGTAATTTGATGTCCCGTTCACTAACGCATGGAACAGAAATAAACGGTTCTTCATTTTGTTTTTGCTTCCACGCATCCGCACTTTATATTTCGAAAATAGTTCTTTGTTCGTTGTGTACTAAAGCTGGGATTTCGGGGATGTCAAGCTAGAGTTCATATTCTACGCATATTACTAGAAACATTGAGCGCTTATTATTTCATAATAATTATAATTGTCCGTTTAATGTTATAGCCCGTCTATGTTACGCTAGACTTAAATATCATTAGGTATTTCTGAACAAACGAACATATATCTGTTCTAGGGATAACTCATAAATCCTAAGGAACGGCTACAGGCATGAGGGGCGTCAACCCCGCTACGAATCTTAACAGCACAGAACTCCTCAGAAGGCTGTACTCCCACTTCGCCTCTAACCCCTCCCAACCTCCTCTTAACCCCCCTCAAACTCCCCTCTAGAACGCTGTCCCTGGGTACCGTTGCACAAAACGACGGTACCACGAAGGTGATCTGAATTCACATAACAAAACAAGAACTTACAATATTCACAGTTCTTAGGTCCAGTGCCCCTGAAATTACAGCTCAGTTGCCAGTTCAAACTTTCCAAAGAAGCGTACAGCACAGTCGCTAGTTTCACAACCCTTATGCTAAAGACTGATAATTGTCGAGAACCATACATACAAACACGTGCTATTGTAAGCTTCGCCGTCACCATAGTGATGACCTTTGACCGGTAATACAACACAGGCACCTTGACCTCAGCTGGTGGCCTTCCACAAACAGCTGTCAGCGAAATCTGTTCCTAATACACGATCGTCTATGACATTCTTCGGCAGTCATTCTCAAATAATATCAGAGGAACTGTTTACTTCCTTGATATATGGTCGGCCTCTGTTCTTCAAGACGAGAAAGGCGGACCAGCACCTCCACCAAAAACTAGAATTAGAGCGGAAGGGGTCGTTGTCGGCACAGGTACTACAGATATGTACCCCAGGTACGCTTCTGTATACAGACATGTACCCTAAACAAAGACAAACTACAGAAACGTACCCGGTACCCTAAACGACGGACGAGTCCATATTCTGCAACCCAAAACCGAAACCGTATGTAGTTGTTCCCGTTCAGCTGATTGCGAGTGGGGTACGTTGTACAC